CACTCTTGCCCTAAGGTCACTTGGGAGCTTCCTGAGCACGACAGGGCTGAGGGGAAGCACTCTGTCCTGAAAGCCAATAACAACCCAAGCTTCTTCCCTGGGTGACCTGAGGCCAAGTCCCTCCTCTCTCTAGGAATCTGCAAACTGGGCCAGAAAAGACCAGAGGACACTCCCTAGAGGCATTTGCAAGCCCATCCCCTGCAGTACCCAAATTTTGCCACTGGGCGGCAGCAGGGAGTGAAGCTGGGGTCCCGCCCCCTTCCTGCTGCTGAGGCCGCAGCTGCCCGCCAGGCCCACCCCCAGGACCGGGAGTTCTCTTCCCCTCCACACCCTCGGTGCCTCCCGGGAACCAGGGCTGGGTAACCACCCACATCCAAACGTTTGATCCTTCCTCCAGCCCCACAGAGCAGCCAGAGTTCTCTGCACTTTTCAGATGGGGAAACTGAGGTCCAGAGAGGGGAGGACTTGTTCTAGATCACACAGCAATCATGGCAGAACCAAGTCTCCCTCTTTCCAGCCGCCAGCCCCCTGAGGAGGCTGTGTGAAGGGACAGACTTGGGCTGGAATCCTGGTACTTCCAGCCCCAGCTGTGCATTACTGGGCAGGTCAGCCACACTCTCCGGCTCTCAGCTTCTGAGTGCTGAACTGCTTTGTTGCAGGTAGATTTCACACACACCCTCTCCCCAAGGAGCAGCCACATGTCCGTCTTACCCCTCTCTGTGTCCCCAGAGCCTGGCACCGGTGGTGGACGTTCAGACGAGAATCACTGCCTGGAGGACCCTCCTGCCTGCCCCCCTCCCCAGTCTAAGGGTCTTTGTCCCCGGGGTGCCTCCCACACTCCCAGGTCAACATTTTCATTCTTCTCCACTCCTCACAGCCCTGACTGGTCCCCGCATACCCACACCCCAAGGTAGTGGCTGCTGCTCTCTCTTGGCCCCCAGGCCCCTTTTCTCCTCCCCTACCTCTCCCTCAGTCCCTCTCTCCCGGGAGACTGCTCTGCACTATATACTGTGTTTACAGGACAAAGATGACTGTTTTGTATTTCTCTCTTTTGTCTCCCTTCCTCCCCCGAAGGGAATCGTGTTTCCCCTCTCCCAGGAAAAAATGAAGGCTCCGAAGAAAAAAAGCAAACAAAGGACCGTGGCAGGACCGTGGCCTGCACCCACTCCCACCCACAGGCCACGCATGTGCACACAATCCTCCCTCCGGTGTTTGAGGGGTAATTGAAAATGTCGGTCTTTATTGTTGAGGATAAACAGGGCCGAGGGACTGGGAGAGCAGGAGGGAGAGCGAGAAAAGAGAAAGGGGAGGCAGAGGGAGGCAGGAAAACTTAAGAGGGGCAAGAGCCAGGTGGGGAGAGCTGGACACAGAGGGACAGACGCCGGAAGGAGCAGGATCCGGCAGACACTGTGCCTCCACTGAGCTTGGAGATGCAGCTCCTGACCCGCCCGACCCCAGCCACACCCCAGCCGAGGGCCAGGGGCAGGATTGTCAGGGGGCTGGAGTGCCTATCCCAGGCCTCCTGTCCTTGGGTGGCCTCCAGAGTGGGCATCTCTGAGCGCTGAAGGCAGGGAGAGGGGACCTGGCTTGTCTTCATCAACGAGGGTTCACAACCAAACGCACCCCGCCCAGGGGCAGAGTGACCTGATCCAGACTGGATGGCTGGCCCCCAGCTCCCCACCCAGCTCCTTCCTGAACACGGAGACCATCCCAGCCTCCCCTCCACAGCCCAGCCCGCCCCCACCTGCACCAGTGCATGGGGGTGCCCTGAGGTGGGGGCGTTCTCCTTGTTTACTTCTCCAGGGCAGCAGGAGGCACAAGGGAACCTAAGGGGTCTTAGGCAATAGAGAGTCACCTGGAGAGGCGGTGTGGCAGGAAAAGGCAACATAGTGTGTGTCATGGGTGTGTGTGTGTGTCATGGGTACATGTGTGTCTGTCTTCCATGTGAGCACAGTGTAAAGCCTGCGTTTGGGTGGGTCTGGTATCGGGGTATACACAGGGACAGTAAGGGGTGTGCCTAGGTGCTCATGCGCATGTGAGCCCGTACTGGATAGAGTACCTGTGTCTTATCTCCGTGTATGTGTGGGTAAGGGGTGTGGGTTTCTGCACAAACCCTGCCTGTGTGCCTGTGTACAATGGCTCGGTGTCTCTCTCAGACAGGGCTCCTCTTGCTCTTGGCCTCGGGCCACCCACCATCCTCCCAGCTCCTGGGAGTCAGAGCAACAACTGGCACTCAGGGTCTCTCCAGCAACAAGAGAGTAACAGAGAACGAGACCCTCACCCCCAGCCCATGTCTGGGAGAGTCCTGTGACCGCAGTTTTGCCACCACACCCTGGCAGCAGTCACCGGTGGAGCCCAGGCTTCTCCCTGCCCCTAGAGAGAAGGGAGGAAGCTCTGGTGGGCACACCCTGCCAGTCACTGACTGTCCGCGACCCTCCAGTGTCTGCTCATGGCTGGCGAGAGGGGCTTCTCATCCTCCCACCGAGCCACTCTCTGAACACCTGGGGGACACTAATGGATCTCCACAGTCTTCTGGTATGCCCAGGCGTGCAGCCAGAGCCTGCCTTAGGGCAGGAGCGCATCAGATACCTACTGAATGAAAGAATGCACCTGAGGGCACGGTTTTAAGTCCTCAGAGAATTCAGACTAGGGCTTCCTGCCCAGTCAATGGTGCCACACCCCCTCTGAGTCAGAAAGAGTGGGGTCAGCACTCAGCCAGGCGTGGGAGGCCCAGCCCACCACCCTTCTGCAGGTCCCCTACCCAGTCACCACCACAGAGGCGGCAAAGCCGAGAGAGGGGCCCTGCTTTGTCAAAAGGTCAATCCCAAGCTAAATGACCCTGTCATTCTGCGGGCAGAGGCACAAGGGAAGTCCCATTCATCTTCCCCAGAGGCCGCATCCCCTTCTTGGCTGGGCCATCTCTCTTCCAAACATCTTCATCCACCAAAGACTCATTTTGAGTCCTCCAGCCTCCTCTCCTTCCCTTGGGATCACAAACCAAGGCTTAGTTCTAGCTTTGGGGCTAATATCCGGTCCCTACCCATATCTGGTGGCAGCTGGAGCCTGTCAGGTTGAGGGTCTGTCCCAGACTGAGCCCTGACTCTAGTCACAGACTGACCCCAACCTAGCCGCACGCTGAGCCCTGGGCCCGGTCCCACATGGAGCCCCGGACCCTGGGCACATACTTGAGCCTAGACCTTTATTTAGAGACAGGCCATTCATTATTTCCCTGGCTCTGGACCTTAGTTTCTTCATTTGTTCAGTGGAAGGCCTTGGAACGGGATAGGCACTAAATCTGAAAAGCCCTGTTCAGAGGTTGGCCTCTAGCTTCCCCGACCTGGTGACACAGGAGAGCAGCAGCCACTGCCACCTGCCAGCCCCCCCACACCCAGCACTTTCAGCCAAGCATCCCTAACTTTTGCAGCTGCCGTGATAAATGGCATTGTCGGCAAAATGACATCTTTCTAATCTGCTGCAAGACAGATGGGTCCCCAAGCTCACTGGCTCTCCCAAGCCTGGCCAGACCAGCCTCACTGAGGAGTGGGAGGACAGGACAGACACAGTACCTCAGGACTGGGGGGCTAGCGCTGGGCGGGGAGGGGATTTCCAGGCCCAGAGTCAGGTATGATCCCGGTGGGCTTTCCGACCAGCCCCTTTTAAACATACTCAGTGTTGGGGCTGTTGTTTTAATATTCCAGAAATACTCTCTGATTCTTTCTATCCGAAGTTAGTTCTTCAATTTTCATTTTCAGGTAAAACCTGAGTATTGGGGGCACCTGGGTGGCTCAGTGGGTTAAGCCTCTGCCTTTGGCTCAGGTCATGATCTCAGGGTCCTGAGATCGAGCCCCACATTGGGCTCTCTGCTCCGCAGGAAGCCTGTTTCCCCCTCTCTCTCTGCCTACTTGTGATCTCTCTCTCTGTCAAATAAATAAATAAAATCTTTTTAAAAACTAAAAAAAAAAAAAAAAAAAAAAACCTGAATATTGCTCCAACTCGACCCCAGCCTCCCCAGAGACCAGCAGGAGAGCAGGCACCTGGCGCAAACCTGGAAGGGGTCGGGTGGGCAGGTGGGCCAGGCTTGGACTCATGAGTAAGGCAACACTGCCCCCTCCTGGGTGCTGTGCGGCTCCTCCTCTCCTCTTTGGTGAGTCTGGGACAGGCGAGCGGCTCTCCAAAGACCGCATTGGGCAAGCAGACCCTTCTCCCAGCAGTCCACTTGGCCCCTTGGCTTCCTCCCAGGCTGACTGTGGCCTCCAGACTCTGCCCATTCTGTCCAACCCTCTCTCACTGCCCAAAGAATCCCGAAAATCACACATCTTATCTAGCCCTATCATGCTGAGGACAAAGCCAGAGTGCCCTCCAAGTGCCCACGACCTGGTCTTCTAATTGGAGGGCCTCCTGCAGCCCGGCTCCTGCCCTCAGAGCTTGCCCCGGGGTCCTGCCCTGCACACTTTGGTCCCACATGCCTGTCTTTGTTCTCATCTTTACCGACACCAAGAACATCCCCCACACCCACTACACAGCATCTCCACTTGTCCTCTTGCGTCCCTCTGCCAGGAAAGAACCCCTCAGCCCTCATCCCCAACCAGACGACCCCTCCTTCCTCTGTTCTGCTCCTCTATCACATGGTGACCCCTGTCAGGGACCAGAGTCTCACCGTTGCGGAGCTGGAGGGAACTTGGACACGCTCCAGACCTACATTCCCCCCTCATTGTCCCACGGGCAGCCCTGAGGGGCCCAGAGGACAGGAACTGCCCAAGGCCACATAGCATTTTAGTGGCAGAGTTCGGACTAGCCGACCAGAGTCTTCCCAGGGCTTCTGGCTGCCTTCTGAGCTGGAACAGACCTTCCCCAGATAGGGATCCCTACATGGCCTCCCAGGATCCCAGCCCCTCACCCAGAGCAGGTCCCAAAGGAAGCAGCCGTGTTTGCAAAACAAAAAATGAAATAAGTGAAAATGTTTATCTAATGCCTTCTGTGAGCTAGACACAGCTCAACTACTTGAAACCTTGGTAAATTGCTCAGTTCCACATATAAAAATAACTTCTGTGGGGAGAGATGGGCAAGGGCCCCAGGAGGGGCCTTAATCATGAATGTCGATGACCAGCGGGCATAGGTGGGGTGAGTGCTTGATGCCCATGGTGAATGCAGGGGTGCGGGGCTTGTGCACCCAGACCTGCTGGACATCGTGGGAGCCAGGGCCGGGCCGAGGAGTGTGGTCCATCGGGTAGGCGAAACGCTTGGCCATGCTGTAGTCAGGGCTACGGTTCTGGTACACGGAGGGCTCAGGCCGGGCGTGCATGGCCGGCCCGGGGCCTCCTGCCACATCCTCCTTGTAGAACCAGTTCTTGTGTTCCAAGGCCAAACTATAGCAAGGAGCAGCTCGGCTGACGGGGTTGTTGGGACCCAGCAAGAGTGGCAGCTGATACCGGTTGGGGGCTGGATTGGGGTCCATCACTCTGTATGGGCACCGGTAGCCAAAAGCATACTGGGGAGCCCTGCGTTCCCCAGGTGGGTGGGTCTTCTCCAAGGAGTAATGGCAGGAGGCTGGGTTGGGGCTCACACCTAAAGGGGATGAATGGAGGAAGCGTCTCAGGGTGGGAGCCAGGCCACGGCTCCTGGTGTCCAGCTGATGGGTCCAGGTAGATCTAAGAGGTCTTGGTTAGCCTGCTGTGATGTTACTGTAACCCCTTTGTCGTCAGGCAGGGACACCACCACCCCTGAATAGGGCTATGGACAGGAGAGGGACTTAGGCCACAGTGACATCAGGACTGACACTGTTATCATAAGATAAAAATCACAAGGGTCACGAGAACATCACCCTTGGGATGTCAGCATCCTGCTATCAACCCCTTGACGTTCTGAAATCACTACAGTCTGTGTGCTCATTAGCATGACAATATCCCTGATGCCCTGGGAACCCCATGACATTTTTATCATAACCTTGCCTGCTGACACGCATGCATACCATTGGCTTCCAGACTAAGCATGGTGACACCGACATGGTGACATCAGTGTTTTGATATAACCTTTCAGGGAGATGCCAGGATCCAAAGACACACCTGGCAAAGGGGAGTCATGACCCTTTGTCCCTGCTCAGGTCCTAAGGGTGGATCCCCATTTCCCATCCTCCCAACCCCCACATCCCTCTCCCATCCCATCTTACGCAGGTTAGAGAGGCGTTCCTCCATGAGGACCTGTGGGCAGCTGGACATTCCAAACCGGGTTATTTTGGGATCCAAGAAATGGCGAGGCCCAGGACTGCAAATGTCCATGACCCCTGCAGGACAGCCCCAGAGAGGCCCAGTCAGCCGCAGAGGATGCCCTAGGGTGAGCCTGGACTGCCTCAGGGTGAAGACCCCCTTTGCCCAGTAGTAAAGTAAGGGTTCCCTTCCGATTCCTTGGCCGCTTGGGTGTTCCCCAACCCTTGATGTCCTCATCTGCAAAATGGGGCTTTTAATGACTGAACTACCAGTCTCAGGAACTTGCTCGGAGAAGCAGAGAAAATCACAGCCGCATAGCAGCGTGGTTGGCTCCCATCGGGGAGCGGTGCCAAGGGGTAATAATAGGCACAGTGGCTATTGTTAGTACAAAGAAGGGGGCCAGTCCTGGACAGGGGGTTCCCCTGCTGAGGAGGTCATGTCATGCGAGGGAGGGACCCAGCAGGCCTCTCGATCTCAGACCCCCTCGACACGCCCCCCACCTTCCCCTCTCACTGGCCTTGACCAGCAGCCAGAGCTCTTCTGTGGCTTTCTGCTCTTGCCCTGCCAGGAGGTTCTAAGCCACCTGGAAGGCTTGGGGGGCCACCATTCCCAGCAGATCCCCCCCACCCCCCAGCTATTTCTGCCCAGCTTCTGTGGCAAGTGAACCCACAGAGGCCAGAGCTGAAGGGCCCCGGCCCAGGACAAGACAGAGAGGAAACTCTACCCCGCCTGCTGGAAAGTGCCATCGGCCTGCGGGGCTCACTAAGGCGGGCCAGCTGGGAGATCCCCACAGAGCTGGCTTTGGAGCGGTGGGTCCCCTGGGCATCCCTGCTGGCTTCCTTGCCGACCCAGTGAGCTACCTGGATGTCCTCTTCAGGGCAGGCCCGGGTTCCCAGGGTCCCGTGGCTACAGGTAATGGCTCCCTAGATCTCACCGTCACCCCAAACACCCAACAGTAATAACCCTGAGCCTGAGGGCACGGCGGGCGTGGTGAGCACTCACGCTTCTCCGAGTGCCTGGTTTGCAGAGTGTAGGCTGGCTCCTGGAACATGGAGATATCGTGGCGTGAGTAGCCCGTGCAGGATGGCCGGAGGTACTTAGCCGGGCCCGGACCTGCGAGGATGGACAGGGCAGCCCTCAGCCTCGGCGCAAGGGATCAGAGCCTGAGGAAGCCCCAAACGCAGGGTGCCGGGAGGACATTGGGATCTTTGCTTCCGCTGACATCACACAGCCGCAGATCCCACCATCCGGCTTCCTCTGGGGAAGGGCAATGTTGCGATCTATCTTAGACAGGCAATGGGTAATAGGAAAGATAATCGTTACAATTAACGGAGAACTTACTCTGCGCCAAGCCCTACTAAGTATTGACACAGATTATTTCAGCTAAGCCTCCTGACAACTCCATGAAGTTGATAGTCTTTGTGTTTCCCATTTACAGATGAGAGAAATGAGACTTAGAAAAACCAGGATGCTCAAAGTCACACAAGCCCGGTAATGTGAAAATTCAGAGACCATCCACCAGGAGACCACAAACATCTAATCACATACTAAACCACCTCCCACACAGACCAACAATCGGTCATTAGCAACATAGTAAGAATTAGTTTGTCTGCTTTCAGTAGAGGGTTAGATTTTAGGGAAGTGAGGAAAGCTAAGGGTAGGCTAAAAGCTCCTCCGAATCCCTAGCTTTTGTCCCAAACTGGAAAATCATACACCACGCTCCCTCCCCCCCCCCGCCCCCCCCAACCCCCCCCCCACCCCGCCAGAAAATCCCCAGCAGCTAATACTGCCTCTGAGGTTCAGCTTGAAGCGGCAGGTCTTCTGCGGGCTTGGAGGAGAGTCCTTGGGAGCTTTGCAGGAGGCAGTGCTGGAAGGCTGGGGCACCTTCAGCAGCCCAGCGGAAAGAGGAATCCCAGCTCAGGGAGGGGCCTGCTCTCACCTTTGATCATTGCCATGATCACAGGAGTCTGCTTTACCTCCTGCCGAGAAGGCACCTGAATGTTCTCCTCTGGGTGCTGCCCTTTGAACCCAGAGTTCCTGGTCCCCTTGGGCGGTTTCATGGCTGGGGCCCAGGAAGGGGCAATGGCTACTGAGAGATCAGGGGTGGGCAAGGGGCTAGGCTTGTGTGGAGCCTGGTGTAGACCGCCCTAGCCCCAAGCCCCTGTGTCCACTCTCTCCCCGACTCGAGAAGCTGCTTGGGGGTTGGGAAGGAAGTCAATCCTCTGGCTTGAGCAGCTGAGGCCGCCCAGGGTGCAGCCAGCCACAGGACCTAGCAGGCTAGAGCTGGGGATGACATCACCGCAGAATTTGGACCATGAGCCCCGGAGTGTTTATTTCCCCCAGTTACCGTGGCAGCTCAGCTATAGAACCCTGAAAGCTGGGCCCCACCAGCCCCTACTCCCCACCAGGCTACACGGCCTGAGGGTGCCCACAACAGAGGGTCAGGGAAGGAAAAGAGAGAGGAGGAGAGACAGGGCCAGCCATTCTCTTCTAATGGGTGCCCTGAAGACAGAGAAAGGAAAGTGTGGGCGGATCCTGGGGGAAGGTTCCCGCAGCCTGGACTGTCTCCTGGGGTGGCCCTCTAACGCCTGCCCCTCCCACCTATCCCCCCAGGTTCTGGACACGCCCTCCCTTCTGTCTGTTTCCCCTTGGAAAAGGATCAAACCGATTATTTCTCACTAAGGTGTTAACTGTCTGATAGCTTCCCAGACTCCTATCCCAGGGCACAGTGTCTTTAGAGATCCATGTCTGGCTCAAGGAAAGCTTGCTTGCCTGCTGCTGGCATTTTAGGCAGGGAATGGGGAGCACATAAGAAGGATGGAGGCATGGCCCGAGGCCTTAACAAGCCACTTCCTGGGCTTGTTGTCCAGAGTACCCCCCCCCCCGAGGGAGGGGCAGTGTGAGAGGGAACATCATGGGGTAGAGAAGCCACCTCACTACCAAATGATGGATGAGCCCTAGGACTGAAGAAATGCTGGGGATGCCTTCACTGCCTAAAAACCCAGGATGTTTGGGGGACTCTAGGGCCTGCCTGCACCTACCAGTTCGTAGTTTAGACTGGGAATTTGATCCGAACCAGCTAAGAGGGGTTTCGGTCTTGGGAACAGATGACTTCCAGCTTTAGAGACGGTGTCTGTCACAGGCCTGGTGCATAAACGAAAAAACTGAGGCCCCTGAAGGGGCAAGGACTTACCCAAAGTCTACCATTGTGTCAGTAGCAGAGATGGAACCAGGACACAAACCCAGGGCTATCTTGGCTCACCACCTCTGATCTAATGGAAACCAAACCCCTTTCTGAGCTCATTCCAACCGGCAGGCTCAGAGAGGACTCAGAGCAGACAGGCCAGACAGGCAGGGCACTCCAGAAGCCCTTGTGGGACTGAATGGCTCAGAATAGAGAGCAGGGCCCCACCCAGTGGCCGCAGACCGCCATCCCCCCACCCCGCGCCCCAATGTGTCCCTCACCTCACCCAGGGGGCCGCCAAGCCTCTGATTTCTGGAGTGAGAGGGCTGGGCAAGGCTGGGATTGGCCCAGCCTCCACTGGCCTCAGGCCACAGGCAGTGCCGCCTCCTCACCCCCATCCTCGTCAGCTTTTCCTGGAGGAAGCTGTGGGCCTGCTGGGCGCAAGCCCTGATGGTCCCCTCCTGCTGCTCGGGGCCAGATGTGGGGCTGAGACCTCCACCTTCCTGATCTGGGGCGGCAGGCGGGGTGGAGTCTCCAAGTGTTCAGACCCAGGGAGCCTTCCTACAATACCGCCCCTCCAGCCGGCACTGCTCCCGTCTGTCACCTGTATGCCTGGCTCTCTGGGGCCAACTGACCCATGCTAGACCCCAGCCCATCACAAGCCGCCAAATTCTGCTCCAAATGCTCCCTTCTTACCAGCTTTGGCAGAAACCTAGCTCACCCCTGTAGGCAGCCCTTGTTCCTCTCCAAGCTGCTTGTCTCATACCCCTGCCCCTCAGAGTCCAAGGTGGAGAGGATTCCTGGTCTCCTTGGTACTCACCTGGGGGCAATGTCCCCTCCCTGTCAAAAGTACCACCCCTCAAGGGCTTCAGCATCCAGGGCCCCCCCGCCCCCATCTGCTCAGGGCAGCCATCTGTCCTGACTGGTAATCCTGGCTTCCTTGGCTCAGGACCTTCTTCCCCACTTGCCCCACCCCTGCCATCACCCGGGTGACTGAGGCTTCCCCAGGGACCACCCATTCCTTGGCCTCCCAGTTCCCAGACCTCCTCCTCCCAAAGTACCTCCCCCCCACTCGGCAGTCTGCTCTCCCCAGCACATTCTGAGCTGCTCACCATCACCCACAGCCCCGACCCTATCCCTCCCTTTGGAATGTCACCCTGGCCACCATCCTGTCACTCTGACACTCTGGTTGGACAAACTCCCTGCTAACGCGGAGACCCCATCATCACTGACACTCCTCTCCCTCCCTTGGTCCCCTCCTGCCTTCGCTGCCCTCCTCGTCCAGCTGCTGTCCTGGGAAACCCCAGCCCTGAGTCCCCAGGTCTGCCTTGTCGGCCTGCACCAGGAAGCAGAAAGCTGTTGGTATCACAGTATCACAGTATCACAGCCTCTGTTGATATCACAGATATCACAGTATCACAGCCTCTGAACCCCGGACTTGTCTCCATGCCGCCCACTGCCCACCTTGCTCTCGCCTGCTCCCAAGGTCAGCTTGCTCTCACCTGCTCCTGAGAGGCCATCGCCAACGTGGCTGATTCCTCTCTGCATGCCCAACCCTCCTTTCAGCCCCCTGCACCGGCTCTTTCTCAGCAGAGGAAACAGGCCAGCAGAGTGGTTTCTGGCCCAAACCCACCCCACCACGCCGTCGGGACACAGGCTCCCACTGCTTCCAGCAGCTGAGGAGGACACCAAGGACTTCTTCCATTCCCTCTGCCTAAGCAAAGTTGGTTAACCTTCCATGGGGTCCCTCCCCACCCCCGTGGTCTCCACACCCTATGTCCCTTCCATATTTTAGAAACCATCTCCCTGACCTCCTCCCCAACACACACACACACACACACACACACACACACACACACACACAGTCTCCTCAACAGCCTGTCTCCCTCTGCCCCATCCAGACAAACCTCCCCTGAGAAGCATTTTCCCTGTTGTCTCTGTTCTCTCCCTCCTTTCACACTTCAGCTCTGCAGGTCATCACGCCACCACCGAAAGGACAACCTCCCTGGGGAAGTAATAGCCAATAGATGCTTTTCACCCCTGCCTGCCGGACTGGCCTCCCGTCTGCCCCAGCCCCAGTGACCAACGGCTCCCCCCCCTTCAGCACTACCTCCTGGTGCCGAGCTGTTTTGGCCTCGCTCCCGTGTCCCCGTTGCCCCTTCACAGGCTTTCCTCCTGGCCCTTCCTTCTCAACCTGACCTTTCAGTGTTGGCTTAAGTTTATTAATTGCAAAGGGGAAAACAGTCACTTTACAGGGAGAATCCTGGCAGGCATCACCTCAACCAAGTGAGGTAAACTGACTTCGCCAGCAGTGGGGCGGAGACATGCGGTGGACCTCCGAGAAGGTCCCCTGAGGAGGCACAGCGTCACCTGGGCCGATCCTGCCACAGACGCGGGACCCGAACCCGATCAGGAAGAAACCACATAAACTCAAATCAAGATTCACTTTACAAAAAACTCGTCTGCACTTGCTGAAAATGGCAACGTCATTAAAGCCAAAGAAACAGTGAAGGAAAGAACTTTCCCAGATTAATAGAAACTCGAGAGGAAGGCAACTCAACACAGTACAGCAGCCAGGATTCCCCTTTGCTTTTAAGGATGTTACTGGAGAAATCGGCAAAACGGGACAAAGGTCTGTAGCTGGTTAAAAACATGATACCAATGTTAATTTCCTGATTTTGATCATTGCTGTCTGGTTATGAAAGAGAAGGATCTTGTTCTGAAAAAAGAGCCACTGGATGGGGCTCCTGGGTGGCTCAGTTGGTTAAGCGTCTGCCTTCTGCTCAGGTCATGATCCTGGGGTCCTGGGATCTGAGTCCTGCATCAGGGTCCCTGCTCAGCGGGGCGCCTGCTCCTCCCTCCTGCTCCCGCTCTATCTCACTCTCTCTCTCAAATAAAGAAATAACATCTTTCCCACAAAAAAGAAAAAAGAAAGATCACTGGAGTGACCATAAGGGGGTCATGTCTGCAGCTCACTCTGGACTAGCTCAGGAAAAAATATGCATATACACAGAAAAGAATCTAAGATCTGGCAAAATAGTAAGATTTGGGAAATCTAGGTGAAGAGTATGTGGGAAATATTTGCAATGGCCTTGCTGCTTTTCTGTAAGTCTGAAATTATGCCAAAACAGAAAGTTGAAAGAAAAACCGTTGGTGTCCCCGACTTCAGTCCTGGACCTTCCTGTTATTCTGCCCCGCCCTCCTCACACCCGGGATGCCCGCCCTCTCAACGCTTCAGTCCCACTGTCTCTACTGCAACGGTTTCCAAGCGGATGTGCCTCTGGCCCGGGCTGTCCCCGGGGCTTTCAGCCCACATAGCCATCGGCCTACACAGGGTCACTGGCTTTCTCACAAACACCTCAAAATCGACGTACCCAAAGCTTCTCTCCTAAGATATAGCCTGCCCCTCATTTATCTCAATGAACGACACCACGAGCCACCCGCCTGCCCAAACTGGAAAGCTGGGCTTGTCCCGGACCTCTCCCTTGCCTTCTGTCTCCACATCCAACAGTCACCGCATCACTCTGGGGTGCCTGTGAGCTCCCACAGGCAGCCCCCGGCCATTTAGTCTCGTGTCCCCAGCACCCAGCTGGGTGGCATATGGTATGGTATATGGTAAGTACTTAAGAAGTGTCTGTTGAGGGGCTCCTGGGAGGCTCAGTCAGTTCCGTGTCCAACTCGTGATTTCAGCTCAGATCATGATCTCAGGGTCCTGGGATCGAGCCCCACATCGAGCTCCACACTCAGTCCGGCATCTGCTGGTCTCCCTCTCCCTCTGCTCCCCCCCACTAGCTCTCTCTCTAAAATAAGTAAATCTTAAAAAAAGAAATAAAAGATGTGTTGAATGAATGAATGAGTTGATCCACTGACTGATCAAGGGAAGGTCTGTCCATGCAGGAGCAGAGTCGTACTTTCGGAGTCCCAGACCCATGCAGGCTCCCTGGACTGTCACTTACACTCCCACAGATTCACATCTGTTACCTGCCACTGCAAAACAAATGATCCCCCAAACCAAGAGCTTAATGTAGCAATATACTCTTACTACTGAACATAGTCTGTGGGTCAGCTCAGGAGCAGCTCAGCGGGACGGTGCTAGCT